TAACTTCACTGCAGTCACTGGAGTTAGATCAGGGATTAGTTTAGCCCACAGTCTCTTATAACCATGGCAATTACACTGGGGCCAAGAAAGAACATGATGTAGAACTGGCTATACTGGCTTTTTCCTTGGCACTCAAACATTCCCCCTATAATGGGAAAATATCTGGTTGGATTTTACAGTTCTTGGCACTGCTGGAGAGGCACAAAGGGACCATATCTCAACTGAGAATTAAGCCCAACCTTTCATTTAGGACTGCAGAAAAAGAAGTGTCATACACATTTGAGATTGAAAAAGGCCAGTTAAGTCATTTAACCCATCTTCCTGCCAAAGTAGGTATATTCCCTGCTATGCATTTGCTAGCATTCTGTCTGTTTGAGTTTTGAAATCCAGTCATGTGCTTCAGGCGATTGCTGCCAGGAAGAAAAAAGTATTCCCCAGTGCATAGCAATGCACAACTAGCCAGTTACATTGTTTTTCAGCTTGGGAGCCACTGAGAATGGTGATTGTCATCATCATAAGGCTGACCCATGTGCTGAGCTCTTTGGGCTTTTTCTTTTTAATATCCCTGCTGGTCTTCAACGTCCAAACTGACGTTTCTCCTTCCTTTTGTGTCTTATATGTTTATGGGAAACCATTTCTCTATGGGAAACAGTACCATTAGCATAGGAAGAACCACCAGAAGCCAAGCTCTGAATTCTATTTCTTGAATTCTCTCTCCTTTTTGTGTCTTTATGGACCTGTTCTTCACTCTGTGCTCCTCCCCTCTTTTCCGCTCTCTGTGTCCCCATGAGAACCTTATCCAAAGTGAAGTGAAGTGAATGGGAACCTTCAGTGGGCTTTGAATCAGACCCTAAAACTTTTACTTTAAAAGAGTCAGAAGTATGTGTTATTAATGTATCAGTAACCTCTAAGAATAATAAAACATTTAAGGTGAAACCCTTATTTTATTGAATTCAGTGGGAGTTTTGCCACTGATTTCAATGGAGTCAGGATTTTAGCCTTGTTGCCGATCTTTAAATTATGTATTAATTATATTGAATACTTAAGAATCCCTGTTATTATTTTGAGGGTTGATAGGTTCTTGTCCCAAGATCAGGCCCAGAATTATTTAAATTATTATATAGTTGGGAACCCCAATGTGCACAGTTGCAACACTCACAGTATAGGAACTCTTTTATATTTACAAATATAGTTTATTAATACATTTAGCACAGTCACAAACTCCCCGACTTAATAAGGTAGATAGAGATGCTACAGAATGTACATCTGCACATCCATATACTCACACGATCCCTTGTAGAGCAACCTGAAGTGTTAGCCAGCATCTTCCTCATCACCATCACCTTCCCCATCTGAAGCAGTGGCCATCATTCTGGCACTTCCCAAGGACTTCATCTCTCTCTCCTACCATCCCTAGGCTGGGATGCAACTTTTATAATAGGTTACTCTGACACCGTTATGTTCAATGCATATTCAGTAGGGGATTTTTCCCTTTTTCCTTCTTTGTATTTCTTCACCTTACTAATGTTGGAGTGTCTTTTTCCCCCCTATCGGTTAGTATATTAATTATCTCAACTTATTATCATATACATCAATTCATTACCATGGCCCTTTTGTGGTTAGTTATCACACTTGTTATTTCGGTCCTAACCAGTTATTTTGTTTCTTTCCTAGTTCCAAGTTGTGGTGGACCTGTTAAGTTTAAAAGGGTATGAACTTAGGAAGCCCCCTATGCCAACCTACTTCAATGCATCCTCCATGTTAAATGCCGCAGCCATATATGGACCTTATGCTTTAGCTCATCACCTGCTATCTAGGTGAAAGGTCCCAAACATATGTATGCTAACTTTGACTTAGCTCAACATACAGGATGTGGCCTGTAGTTCCCTTGCATTACAGCAAAAATATACTCTAATATAAATCTATTATAATAAAACAAATAATCAAACCCATAAGAAAATAGGAAATTTATAACAATATATATATATAGGCAAGCAAGCAGGCTAGCCTTAAATGTATCTCATGTACCTGTTATGTACATCAGTTCGTTGCCAGAACACTTCTGTGGTTGAAACATGTACCTGTGATCAGAACTTCTCCTTAAACTCTATTTTCAGCTCACCAGATACTTGGGGGTTTCCGTTGGGCCTTTCATCTGTGCAAAGTTTATCCCGTCAAAGATCATCGGCCTCAAGCCTTATGCTAACTTGCTGAAGCTAATGTCTTACAGGATACAGGCCTGTAGGTTTTTTGCATTACTGCTGAATATAAAGCAAAGCAGTAAATATAATAAAGGCAAGCTAGCCCACTGGGCTACAGTAGCAGTGAATATAATGAAGGCAAACTAGGCCACGGGGCTACACCCTTAATATTTTCATTCAACTATTATATTCCCAGAATTTAAGGATGTGATCATATGAATAAGACATGCAGCATAACAGGTGTCTGATCACTGAGTCTTGACAGAAAAACAAAGAAAACTCACAGCCCTTTAAAATCTATGTTCCAGGGCTCTGTTACTTAGCAAATCAGATCAATAAAAAGAGAACCTTCACAACATGTACCCTTTTTGGTTTTTCAGTGCTATGTTATGTCAACAATGGAAGTAGTTGAGAAAACACTTTTGGTTTGATTGGCACACAGATTTAAGCTCCTCGTCAAGCCTGGAAAACCTGGGTGGTTATTGAAAAGTTATATGAATATGCCTGATTTTCAGTTGTAAAAGATATTTCCAAGTTTAATAAATTAGAGCTATATTTCTCCTTGATCCTTTTTGTTTTCTTTCTATTTATAATTATTAGGAAAGAGTCAAACACAATAGATGAGGTGCAAAATTTGTTACTCTCTGCTGGATCTATTTCTTTCTGTTTACTGTATTCTAGATGGAGAAGACAGAGGATCCTGTATTTAAGGTAGACTGATAGTTTCCCCATATGACTTTTTAGTTGTTTATAACTTTACCAAACTTTGAATTGTTTGGGCTAAAATTTTCCATGCCGGGATCTGCCTTAGGCTGAATTTTTCTGAAAAAAATTTCAGCAAAAACAGTTTAGCTGTTTCTCAGAATAACGTTGGTCGAAAATACATTCTTTTGACCATGTTAATTTTTGCTAACATTTTAATTGAGAAGCTGTCTCCCCTCCATGCTCTGGAGTAAGGATTTAAAATTTGGGAAGTTGATTGTTCTGGTACCAGGGATGTGCTATCCCATGAAAACCTGCCCAAATTTGGCCAAGTTATGAACTTCTGAAAATCTCAATTCATACATGCTCAGTAGACATTTGTTAGAATTTGGCAACTTAAGATCTCTGAAGAGTTTATCCTATGGGGGAAAAAACAGTATATCATCATGTTATTAAAGACTGCATCATGAGGCATATACACAAGGGAGAAAGGGTGCATGAGCTACCTTAGTTCTGGCATTTAACTTTTGAATGCTTGACTTCATGACCTTAACTTCCTTTTAATATAATTCTGTATTTAATAAAAAAAACCTGTGTATTTAAGAGTTCTTTATGCATACACCAATGAAATAACTGAGGATTCAGAATGAGACATGAACAGAATGGGAGGGAAAATGTCCACACATAAGTACACAATAAAGACAATAGTGTTGGAGTAACCAAATAATGCTGCCAAAAAGACACTGGTTTATTGTAGTGCTTTCTGGTGGGATACGTGCTGCGAAATCTTACTGCATTTCAACAGCTGCATTTGCTTAGAGCAGGGGTGGGCAAACTTTTTGGCCCGAGGGCAACATTGGGGTTGCAAAACTGTATGGAGGGCCAAGTAGGGAAGGCTATGCCTCCCCAAACAGCCTGGCCCCCACCCTCTATCCGCCCCTTCCCACTTCCCTCCCGCTAACTGCCCCCCTCAGAACTCCCAACCCATCCAACCCCCCTGCTCCTTGTCCCCTACTGCCCCCTCCTGGAGAACCCACACCTATTCAACCTCTCCCTGCTCCCTGACTGACCCCGAGGCCCCCCACCTCTTATCCAATCCCCCAGCCCTGGCCCCAGCCCCCTTACCATGCCGCTCAGAGCAGCATGTCTGGCAGCCGTGCCGCCCAGCTGGAGCTACACACGCTGCCACTCTGCTCGGCAGGAGCCCACAGCTCCGCCGCCCAGAGCACTGGCTGTGTGGCTGCGGGGGAAGGAGACAGCAGGGGAGGGGTTGGGGGCTAGCCTCCCTGGCCGGGAGCTCAAGGGCCGGGCAGGACGGGTCCCGCGGGCCGGATGTGGCCCGAGGGCCATAGTTTGTCCACCTCTGCCTTAGCGGACACTTTCAAACAGACCTCATTGCGCAAAAAAAAAATCCAAAAACAAAAACCTCCTGCTGCTCCTAAGCATAAACCTGCAAAATAGCTAAACTGTATTCCTCTATATAACATGATTTTAACTGGAGTCGTGTGCATAAAGATTATACAGTCATAGATTGAGGTCTCGTCCAGCCTTACATTTCTAAGTCATTGAGTCCAGCCTGCTGCACTGAGGCAGGACTAGTAAACCTTTGCAAATAGTCACACTCAAATGTGGGGCCAATCATATTTTTAAAGTTAGGCACAAGCTTAAATTCTTCTCTGGACTGGAGCCTAACCGGGTAATAAAACCCAAAGTGTTAAAAATTCTACAGTTAGCTCAGAGAAGCCTCACAAAGTTACACTGAAAGAGGGGAATACTTGGGGCTAAATTCAGCCCTGGTATAAGTGGGCACAACTCCACTGTGGTCAGTAGAATTACACTAGGATTAATGTAGGCCTTTTTGCATTTCATTACTAAAGAATTATTTTAGAATAGTTTAGCGGTTGCCTGATTGCTGATTTAGTGGGACAGTGTGCATAATCAGTTAGTGTAAAAAGCGACAAAGAGTCCTGTGGCACCTTATAGACTAACAGACGCATTGAAGCATAAGCTTTCGTGAGTGAATACTCACTTCGTCAGACGCATGCGTCACCCACGAAAGCTTATGCTCCATTACGTCTGTTAGTCTATAAGGTGCCACAGGACTCTTTGTCGCTTTTTACAGATCCAGACTAACACGGCTACCCCTCTGAAAGTTAATGTAAATATCTCATGATGTTCAAGGTACTAAGCAATAATGAATACGGTCTGTATTTTACTTTCCAATATTTTTCAATAGCAGATTGATTGATAGTGCATTCAGTCTTTCCTGAAAAAAATCTTGATATTCTTTTAATCCTCCTGATTATTTAAAACTAATAATTTACATTGATTACCACTTCAAAGTCCTCTGATCTGAACACCTTTCAGCACTATTATTTCCACCAAATATTTACTTTGCAATTTAAACTACTAGATTTCGGATTGTTTTGGGTTGATTATGAAAAGGAATCCAATAATGTCTTCTAAACCTTTTCTGTATCCTCTCTTTTTCCAGTTTCTGTGCTGTTCTATACCAGACTTGAAAGCTTTGAACTAGCTCATGCAGAAACCTGTAGCCCATGAATTATTTACTAACTAACTTCTTTACATGTTTCTCAGTTAGCTATCTGTGAGGAAAACAAAACACCTTTAGGGAGTAGTAGCATGCTCTACTTATGCCTTTAAACAAAGTGGGAAGGAGCTGGGATAGAGAGGAGAGTGATACATTGATAAGCCATTCAGAATTTGGAAGAACGTTTAAGAAAGGTGTCTCATGATGGCAAAGCCATATTGCAAGTAAAAGTATTGTAATAGCTAGTGATTTACAGTATGAATGTAAGTCTAAGAGCTAATTTGAAGCTTCTGGAGCAACCATTTGATGGCTTTTAGGTTGTAGCTTAGTTGCACCTATTTCAGTCTTTGGTTTGAAAAAATGCCTTTAATGGAACAGAACATTCTCTTAGAACCAAGCTGTGAGCAGTCATGTAATTCTTCACAAAAAAAAGGTAAAAGCCACTTAGCAGGTATATATTCTGGCTACTCTTTCTTTCCTCTGGTTGCAATCTATGGGGTTATTCAAGTTTTATTTCCTTGATGTTTATTTGTGCATCTGATTAATATAAGACACTTGGTGGAAGACTTGGTAACGTTCTCCATGTGCAAAAGGAATCTGAGAAAAGAAGGGTATGAGCTAAGACTGGAGGAGGAAGCTGGGTGCAGAGGAGAGCTGGGTGAAGAACTGATTTTTTTGGTTCGCAGGCGGTTCTGAAAAATAATGGGGAAAAAACTGGTCAAACTGAACTCAAAAAATTTCAGTGAATCAATGAAACAAACTGGTAACCATCGTCATAGTCCCTGGGAGGGAGTAGAACTGCAGTCTCTGGGCTAAGGAGTAGGGTTAGACTGCTGGGTTAAGAACAGTGGGACTGCAAGCCTAAATCCCTAGTCTAAAGGGAGAAAAGATGAGTATCCCCACCCATAGAGAGGAGACCTAAGGGGGCCTGAGACATAAAGGTGTGCTATGGTCACCATGGATGGGTCAGCGGTGCAGTTAACCCATGAACTGTGGCAACTAACACCACCATCTTCTTCTCTTCTGGCCACTCTGTGAATCTAGCCTGAATACATATTTTTTCTGGCTGAAATTATTTGGCGAATTTGTGTCCAATTCACGAATAATTTTGGGTTGACTGAAATGGCATTTTTCTGCAAATACACTGTTCAACTGAAACATTTCACCCTGCTTTATTGCAGAGTCAGGTGGTTCTTCCACTCTTGTGAAATCTGTTAGGAGAAGTTCAATTAGCTATGGTGGTGGAGCAATGTAGGTGAGTAGAGGACTGTCAATTTTCCCCTCTAACATCTGGAGTATGATTCAGCTCTCACTGGGGAATTGCCTGAATTATGGGTCTGAACATTACCTGGGGTTCTGGATATTTTGCAGATACATTAGTGTTTTGCTTCCCATACTAAAAATGGGCATCAATAAGAAAAACCTATCTAAGAATGTCAGTGTATTCCAATTAGGGAGAAAGCTGGATGGAGAAGGGGGGGGGGAGATCCATTTTTATTCTGTTTTTCTTGTTTAGTTTTAGCTAAACATATCTGATATGTTCTTTTCTTGGGTCAAAGGAGCACCCTTCAGTCACTGCCACCTCTATTTCCCTTTTTGACTCATCACCCCGTGTAAGCTTGACAGGAAGTTTATTCCATTCTTTCTGAAATACACTGAAACTGAAAGAAACAGTTAGGGAAAGACATCTAGTGATCTGTTCCATTTAACTTCCAGGTTTGCAGTATTTTTATAGAGAGACATGCATGTTCATGTCCCCAGAATAATTTAAAAGCAGAAAATTTCATAGGGCAAAAAGTCTTCACCAGCCAATAAAGAGCCTGACTGATGTCAAAGGGCCCAATTTTGAAGTCCTCGGCCACAACTCCTATTGACTTCAAAGGGAGATTTGACTGAATAAGTACTTCAGGATTTGACCCAGCATGAAGGAGTTTGATACGTGCTTCCAGGTCCACTACACATATATCTTACAGACACAGGCACGGGACACATATACCTTACAGATGAGCTAGCTGTAAGTATGAAAAAGATTGAAGGAAAGGCACTGCGATATAAAATTGAATTGTTAAACTACATAAACAGTAAAGTGACTGCAGGGGAGAAGTGAACTTTACTTTTTTCACCAGCTGAACAATGAGAATGGCAGGAAGTAAACATGTTAAGTGTCCCTCAATATCAAATGTCATACAATATGGTAAGTAGTCAATGGCGTGCAGTTACAAATAGAGAGAGAAATGGTTCTATTTATAGGGAAATAAAAAGGTCATTTGCTTTTATTGAGTATTTAAAGTATTTTCCTTCAGTGCTCATTTGATATGAAAGACTGACTTAGTGAGAGTGCATAGAGCTAGCAGCCAACAGCCCAACCTAAAGAGAGAGCTCATTAAGACTGAATTTCAGAAGGGATTTACTCTAGGAGGAGAATGACACATGGCAATTCATGGAAAGTCACTGATGGTCCTTCTCTGAGCTGGCTGCCCATCAAGTGATGGGGAAGTAAAGTTGGGGGATTAAAGGATGGCTATACAATATTTGTATATATAACTTGGTGCACTCAAGTTTCATTATTATGGGTTTTGTACTAAATATTTCATGGATATAGCAGCAATACCATTACATTTCTTTTCCACGGGGCACAGATTTCAGCAACTGTAACAAGTCACTCACCAGCCCACAAGACAAAAAGTAGAGTCTCAGCTGAGATTCAGGCCATCAACTGCTGTTTTTCCTTCCTATTTATCTGCTAGCCTTTTGAGGTACATAGGAGACAAAATGAGCTCCTGAAGAGCTACCCAGAAAACCCAACGGCCAGATTATTACATAGCAAACTATTTGGACAAAGCCATCTGTCATGACAATACAGGGGGTGGATTAGTAAACCCATATTTCTTGCCCACCTAGTGGAACTTCTTGTGCAGAAATAACCATTAAATGGTTGCATTTCTTCTCTCTCTGTAGCACTCTTAATTACTACTTTATGCATTATATATAGGCTCATCACTATGGTACTGTGGACCACTCCTATCCACTTTTGTTGTCCAAAGGTAACTGTGGACCAACAGGACAACAGAAATTGAAGCATGATGTGTATAAGTTATTATTATTATTTGTGTTGTGCAGTACCTAGAGGCCCCATGCCCTTGTGCTAGGCACTGTCTCTCATCTGATTCAACTCTCTTAGAAAATGAGAGGCACACAAGGTGGATAAGACAAAGACTGAAGGAAGCACAAAGTAATGAAGATACTGTGATCAGCATGATAAACATCTATCGTGGCATGGCCAGCTGCTTACCCGATTGAAGATAGTATTATATATGCACTATTTCTTTCAGTTATATTTCTGTGTTTTTCACTGTCTTAGTATCCGTCTCTTAAATTTAACATTTCTTTTATTTAAGAAAATTCTTTATTGGTCAACAAAATCACCACAGTTGCTCAAGACTATTATGGCCAAATGCTGGACCCCAAACATTGCTCAGGTATATGGCCCATGTGTTGGGAAGGCTCACAGGTGTGGGAAAATTGAATCCTTTCCTGAGGTCACAGAGGAGCACCTAGCTGGTGGATCCGCATAGTTATAGCTTCACCAGCCTTGCCTCTTGAGGGAAGCCTCTTCTCTACTGGGATGAAAAGAGAACTTGCAGAACTGTGATGTGCCACAGACACAGAGCCCTATGCACAGACTTCAGTGAATTAAAGTGAAATTCAGGATCTTCCTATGAATGAGGGGCAGAGTTTGCCCCTTGCAGAATTGCTGAGCACTGACAGCTCCCATTGACTTCAGTTAGAAGTGCTGGTGCTCAATATCTGTGAAAGCAGGCCTTAATTAGTGTACATATGCTGCTTAAAAGAGAATAGATCAGAATTTTGTGAACAAATTGTTGGACAAATTTGCTCCTTTATTCTTTACAACAGAAATTAAGTAGCAACCTAAAAATCAAATAATATCAAATTCATTTTTAATATTACCATTCATTTTGAATAACCTATCCAAAATGATTACCCTTTCTTTTCTGTTCATGAATGGTTAATGACTGTTCCTGATTTTCAGATGTGATTGTTATTTGGAAGTTTTCCCCAAATAGGTTAAAATTTGTTTTCATAAACTATGGCTGGAATGATTGGTCCCTTATGTCATGTGGTATTATATCTGCTCCCTGACTGGATCATTGATTTTTACACAGGAAAATAACAACTAAAGAACACTTTTTTTCTAGTATGAGTTATTGAGTGAATAATCATTTATAATATTTATCACATTTTTGGGAGTTACTAACTTTTTCACAGACAAATATGCTGCTATCTGAAAATATTTGAACAAAATTGTCCTGTGCAGCCAAAACACTGGCCGTGTTCATGGAACGTAATCATTCAAATTTCAGACATGTTTGTTTTCAATTAAATCACTGGTGCACAGTGTAAAACGTACTAGCAACAAGAACTTGTCTTTAAGGTGGTGGTGGGGGGTAAATGGAAGCAGTCATTTTTATATTTTTGTAATAGTTAGGGACTAGAATGGCAGAAATTAAACTTTCCTGCTGTTGATTCAGCTCCTGAAGTGTTAAGGCCACATAGTGATAAGTGATGTACTTGATGAATTCTTACACAGATCTGAGTTGAACATTGACCATAACACCTAAATGAACTTTAGAGAGTATTTGCTTTAGCAACAATAGTGATAAAATACACGTATTGATGCTGCACACAGGGGTATCTAACCAGGCATCTAACTGTGTCTAATTTTTCTGTTCTTGTTTCACTGATGTGGATTAGGAGTTTTCTGCAGGACCTGGGTATTAATAGCTAACTCCTGAATTAATCTTCTGCTGTAAGAGTATAATTTACTATGGCGTTTTAAGGGTTATGTTTCAGTAAGGTGGCATGAACATCTGCCAAATAACCATTCCAACGATCTCATGCATAAGGAAGTTTATTTTACCTTTAATGCGTGCTTTAATAGATACTTGGAAGTACTGATTTATCTGACTTATAGGAAAATAGTTCTAGATAGTCATGCTAGTATCAAAGCAAGTTATTATTTTTTTATTATTATTATGATTATTATTATAAACACAGCAATGTCCAGAGGCCATACTTTGTTACTATAGGTATTGTGCAAGCATATAAAGACATGATGCTTCCCCCTAAGAGACTACAATCAAAGGTCCTGATGCTGCCAGGAACACGATTCAGTTGCAGGAGTCTACTATTGCATTATTCCTGCTCCAGGAAGAAACTAAGAAAACATGTGACAAGGTGGAAAGAAAAAAACACCAAAATATATACAATTGTATATACATTTGCCAATGGTTTATTGTAAATGGATCAAGCACCAAGTGTCCCCAGCTGTTCCTCAATTGAGCCACCATTAATAGTTTTATTTTTTTTTAATGGAGATGGGTCTTGTAGAGAGATTTGAAGGAGGAAAGGGGTGTGGGCTTATGAATCGGTAAAGGAAAGGAGATCTGTGCATTTACAGGTTGGAAACCTCACCCACTTTTCCTGATTAGTTATATAAGCTGTCCAAGGCAGAACCATGGAAAAGCTGACACTAGCTTGGAGAAATAACTGGGAGAAGTATCATTCTGTTTAGGAACATCTGAAAGAATTACATGATATCTAATTTCAGATCTTGTATTAGTCATCTTCCTGGTGTTTTTTTTTCTCATTTGGTCACAGTAGGCACTTGCCTAAGTCACTCTGGTGCCAAAATTGCTCTGAATGTGTGTCTTTACATGCAGCATCAGATATACATTCCTACTATAATTTTAATACTTCTACAAATCAACAGTTACTAATATAATATTGACCCTCTGAATGGTGAGCAGATATCAGGGCACTGCAGGTCGGCCTCTTCTCCTGGCAGAGAAAAAATCAGTGACATGGAGTCTGAGTATTTTTACATTGTATTGCAACACTACATATAGTAGGTGTAGTTGGCACTCAATTAAATCCCTCTTTCAGGGATCTCAGCCCAAACTCCGGGGCCCAATTCCGATTGACTCTAGTTAGAGAGATTAAGGCAGGAGCAAACTTTTCTGTTGTGTACAACAGCTTCCCCCCAAATCCCCTACGAAAAGATGTGCTATCAACAAAATTACCAGTATTACTCCTAAGACTGTATGCTGCTTCCACGCTAAGAAAAAAGTTGTAAGGTTCTATTTAACAGTGCCATCTAGTGGCTCCTGCCATAACTATTTTAGTTTTACTGTGTCTTCCTCAACTAGTCTCTATATATCATGTTATTTGTTTTGG